AGGGCGGGCGGCTTCTGCTGGAGCCACCCGCATGGGGCTGTCGGCTCGCATGCCTGGGTGGCCTGGGCGGTGCCCCCTCCACGCGTGGTGCGTGAGGAGCTCAAGGTTGCTGGTCTCGCGCGGGGTCCTCGGTGTTCCGCGGTCGGGGAACTCGCGCCAAGGACCGTCAATGCGCACCAGGTGCCGGCGGAGGGCACTCATGGTACCCCCCCTGCCAGTGACCCTGGCGTCCGCCACGCGCGGGCCACGCATGGGTCCGTCCGCCTCCCGACTGGCTGCCCAATCAGCATTCGTGTGCCCCGTGGCATCCAACCACCGGGCGTGGAAGTCAGCAGCGCATTCCCTCTGTCTCTCCGGGCTTGACTGGGGTCCTCAGCATCTGAGGGGGTGGACTGGTTTTCCCTCCGCAGCTCTTCCTCCAGGGCAAGGTCTGGGAATGGGTAGGAGGGCGGGTCAGCCAAGACGGGACCCCCGTGTGCCGCGTGACTCATCACGAAAGGAGAGCCGTCATCCGTCCACAGGAGGGGCCCCCGTTCCCGATCTTGCGACGGGCATTCGCAGCCGCGGTGGCGTCCGCCAGAGAGGCCACCAAGACACTCCAGCCCAAGAGGCGGGTCGGGAGGGGAAAAGTTGGGGGAAGAGCTGGTGGGCGAGGGAGGGGAGGCACGGGGCGATCCGGCAGCGGCGATCGGAGATCTGGCGCGATCGATCCGATCAACCAGGGGACCAGCCCCGACCGCGGGATCGGAAGAGATCCTGGTAGCGTTGGGCGAGCGAGGCAGTCCCATGGACCACCCAGCCGTCGCTCCCAGGGAAGGTCGATTACGGTCGATCATTTCAGTGGAGGAGCGCGCCTCCCTGCGACCACTGTCATCAAGATCACCCGCCTCTCGCTCTCTTCCTCCTGGCTGAAGCAGATGAAACGGCAATCCATTCCAAGAACGAATTCCGCGACCCCTAGCGGGGTGAAAGGAAGTGGGGAAAGGGCAAAGGGCTCAGAGCCCGAAGGGCGGGTGGAGGGCTAGCAGCCCTGTCGAGACCCGCCGCGGCTTCGAGAACCGAACCCCTTTGGGATATGGAAGCTTGCAACTGCGTAGCGTTCTGAGCTGGGCAACCTTGTGGGTCGCACACGGACACAACAGGTGGTTCGCGCGACCAGTAGCGCACGACTCACAACGGTTGCAGAACAGGACAGCCGTGCCAGCAACCTCGAGGCGTCCTGCCCACAGGTCGTGGGCGGGCTCCAAGGGGGCTGCTTGTGTGAGGACAGCTTGCAGGAAGATGGCAGCGGGGTGCAGGGTCCGCGGCGAAAAATGCGTGGGTTGGCGGTCGCCCTCCCGCAGTCAACACACTTCGATCTGTTGAGGGTCCACTTGACATGATGACGGGTGGGACCTCTCGCGGAGACTTTGGGAGCCCTGGGGATCTTCTGGAGGTCTCCGAACACGCCCCTAGACTTTCTCCAGGGCTCTAGCATTAAAACGAAAGCTTGGAACACGTCGAGCCGCAGCTGATAACCTGCCTCGACACGCTCCACATCTTGAGGGTTTAACTGATGCGTGGCAACCTCTTTGGCGAGAACATCGGCCCAGCGGTCGCCCGGGACTCTCGTTTGCTCTTCCAACCCCCTGTCACCACGCAGGAGGGACTGGTGAGCACGTATCTTATGAATAGTCCAGCCTCTAAAACCAGTGTTCATATACACTTGGCGCCAGTGTCCACCTTGCCGTTTACGGCCGTCTCTCGAGCGGAGAGGGGTAGCTGCGCCATGCACAACAGCAACACAATCTTGAATGACACGGGCTGGCTCTGCGTCGTGGTCAGTATGGAAATGCGCCGTCCCATGGAGCAGGCCATGGTGCTCTGCCATGTTGGCGTTACATGGGACGTAGGAGGGGGAGACGCCTCGGACGGCAATGCGGAGGTCCCCATGGGGGGGGACTTCGACCGCACACCACCCTCCTCTGCTGAGGAGGGGGGTGGCGGGGTGAACCACAGGTCCATCAATCGACACTTCGACCCCTGGAGTGTTCCAAACAAACTGATCGATAGGGCCTCCTCGGTCCAGGTATTCCACAACCTCGGCGTCGGGGGGGGTTCGATCATAGGCACAGGGAGCCACAGGCAGTTGTAGCGCGGGTCCGAGGGACCAGCCTCCAACGCCGCTTCAACGAGCTCCGCGTCCAAGCCTTGGCGAAGAGTATCCCCGAACGGGCAGCTCCAGACGCGATGGAACGGGGTGTCGGGGGCTCCGCATTGTTGGCGCCTGGGGGAGACTTGGTATCCCCTCCTATGAAGGAGGGCCCCCGTGAAGTAACAGCCAGTGAAAATTTGACGAGGAATCTGCTTAGCAGCAGGCGTGTGTTTCGATGAGCTCCAGGCTCGCGAGACTGGATGGGCCCATAGCCCACGTTCTCGTATCTGCGCCGCGCGGTCGGACTCCACGTCCTGCAGCTTGGTGCAGACGGTCCTGTGGAGAGCTTGCCTCTGCAGGCCCTTGCCTACGAGGTCAAAAATCTGGGCTGGCGGGGCGAGCGTAACGTTGCAGACGACGCCACTTGGCGTGCGAACACCGGCGGGGTCCACAAAAATCCAACCGGCTTGCTTGCACCAGTAAAACATGTCCGAAAAGGAGGCTCTGGGTGACTTGATGCCATCGTCCTGGATGGGGGTTGGGCGTCAAACCGTTCCTTCGCCAAACTGAAATCTTCCCTGAGTTCTCTCGCCACGAGGTTATCTTTAGCACAGAGCAATGGGTCCGTGGCAGACCAACACTCGGCGCAATACCTGCGGAGCGAGGCTCCAGAGCGAGAAATAGGGTCTCTACTGGGGACCAAGCACCAGCACAGATCGAGATTGGCCCCTTCTCCCCAGAGTCCGACACTTTTGGCCATCTGGAGGCGCAGGGCTCTGAGCTCAGTGGGGGGGTGTCCTTGGACCTCCTCCCCGTAGGTGAGGCTGGGCTTGATTCCGCAGACGAAAATCTTACCTTTCTTGACAGTGGCTCCTCTGAGTTTCTTGACCCGGATCAGCCTTCGTAGGCCTTTGTTCCACCTCGACTTATTTTTGGATCGGGGACCCTTGGAACTCCTGGATTTTCCCCCGGCAAAGTCAACTCCAAGATGGGCAACATGCCCAGCAATGGTATGACCATGGGTTCCTAGCGCTGTGGGCGCCAGCTTGGCCACCTCACTGGAATTTGACGTGGACTGCATTTTCCTTAAAGCTTACGAAGCTCCAACCTGTTGGTGGGCTGGTCGAAGACAAGGCCCGCCAGGGTGGCCAGCGAGTTCAAACAGCTCGTGGCCGTCGGCATGGCCACCGACGTGGTGATGTCACCAATGTGAATGGTGAGGTCCTCGTCTTCTCCTAACTTGATTTCTCGGGTGGAGGGGGGCATGTAGGACTTGATTTCTTACGTGGCCGTGGAGGACCCCGCCACAATGCCACGGGTGGGTTCTATCTCCTCACTAATGCCGAGTCCATCAGTAAGCGACGAGGCCAGCGGTAGCTGTTGATGGTAAACCGAACAACGTGGAGGGGAAACATACAGTCCCTAGACTCACTCCAAAGCAAGTTGCGCCTCACATGTTCATAGCACTGTTTGAGGTCCGCAAGCAGGACCCCAACGAACTTGCCTTGATTGTGGTGGAGGTCATTTCGCACCGCCTGGCGCCAAACTGCGTCCGTGGTCGACCTGTGCGGCGCCATGTTGAAGACTGGGCTGGCAGCGCAGCGAGACTCCCATCTCCTGCAGTCATTGGCCAGGCCCTTGGAGTAAAGTCTGGTGGTGGACTGATAGAATCCTAGTGGGCGTCTTCCTTCAAGTGGCTTCCTGTAAAGAGCAACGATGGGCTGACGGAGTCCCGCAGGACTGTTGCCGAGAATGTTCATACAGGTAAGAATCCCCGATCAGACTCTGAGTCCTTCGTCCCCGATGAGGGCAAAATGACGAGGATGAAACCCGTCAGTAGCGATGGTCGCCGTTTTGAAACTCCTCGACAAGCTCCGTATCTCTTCAACATCGGGCCCTGCGGGAATGTCCAAATCTTTTTCCTCATCCATGATCGGAGGGCTGGTCTGGCTCGCTCCCCACGCCTCTTTCCAGATACTTATCTGGTGGCTGAAACGGTTGAAAAGGAGGCAGCGGGGTTGCCCGCGTGATCTTTAACCAGATCTTCCTTAAATTCACTGGAAAGCTTGGTGATCTGGTGGGCCTGAGAGGCACCTCCAGCAAGAGCTTCCTCACACCGCTTGGTCCAATCCTTCCTCTGCTGAGAGCGTTCCTTAGCGAGGCAGTGGGTTTCCAGCTCCGACAGTTGGGTGACGGCCCAGTCGAAGCTGCTAAAATCCTAATCTCCCCCGTCCCAGCTCCAGTGGGGGGTCCCAGATCAGTCTGAGGGCGTGCGTGATAATAGTGTGCGCGAACTCTCTGCCCTGCGGCCAAAATCTAGCAAACGGGCCTCCTTCGTTGCGAATTCCTCTGGTGTGCCGAATGAGGAGGTACGTGCCCAGAGTGTGTCGTCTTTCGACATTCGCCAGAAGGGGCCGAAGCTCGGTTAATCTTCGCACAAGCCAGCCGTCGCAACGGGCTTCGGATCTCCTGGGGTTGTCCTTAGTTATCAGAAGGTTCCTGAGATCGACCTGGCTAACTTCATAGGGAAGGCCCCCTTCTCTGCCTGACACTGGGGGGCCATGAAACACCTGCTTGAGCTCCCCCCAGGCCTGGGAGCACCACTCCGAGTACACCTGGTTGAGGGCAGCTTCAAGCTCAGCTTTCCCTAGGCGGGTGGGGGTGCGGTATCCGTCTCCTCTGGAGAAGGGCGCAGCAGCAGCAGCAGCAATTTTAACTTGGAGGTCCTGGTAGGAAGGTGGAGGTAGCACTGGTCCAACTGGGAGTTGGACTGGAAGCTTCTGGTACGCCTCAAGACGTTCCACCTGCAAAAAGTAGGCCCCCGTCGTTAAATGCAAATCCACTGGCTTGCGTCGGAAAACATCACCAGAGAGATCGGCCTTGACGGAGAGGAAAGCGTTGACAAGTACCTTGCTGAGTATGAAGAAATCGATGGTGCGGTGCGAGTCTTCCATAGAGCAGGCGTGGGCGCTCGGGTCGAAGATTGCCTCTCCTCCAAAGCGTTCTGACTCGCACCCAATACTAATCTCTCCTGGCGTCATGTTGCAATCTCCACCGGCCACGAACGGTAGCCCACGGGCAAGCACATGTTCTCCCAGCCGCTGACAGAGGTAGAGATTACGCTTTCCCAGGCCCGCTCCAGAGACCCAGTAGTTGGCGTAAATGGAAAAGACACCGAGGCACTGAGTGCGGCAATACGCGTGGAGGATCCTCCCTGGGGCCACGATCCCTCGTCCCGTTTCTTGCCACAAATCAAGATAGCTTCTGCGCAGAATGGCCACGCCCCCCGACTCGCGCCCCTTGGCGGTAGTAAGGGCGGGGGCCCAAAAACTTCCCCAGCCGAACTTCAATGCGGTTTTGCTGGCAGCACCTATCTTGTCCTGGCTGAGCTCATGCCCCTGAACTAAAACAACGTGGGCGCGTGAACGTTTCAGGTGGTCCAGGGCCCTGGGCCAGCCTGAGGAATCCCACCAGCCCTCTGGGCGTCGGTGGTTTAGGGCGTTTCCTCCTCCACCCCTCCCTCTCCCCCTTCGGGGAGGGGTTTACCCCTCCCCCCGCCCCCTCCCCACTGACCTGGGCAGGAGGGGCGGGGAGCGGTCAGAGCGTCCAAAACGGCCTCGGCGAGGAAGCCAAAATCATTGATTTTACTATGGTTTGGGCACCATTTTGACCTTCTGAAGGGGGCAGGGCTAATTCAAACCCCCCTCTTCTTTGATCGATTTCCTCCACGATGGCCGCAAGAGGCCCCCAGGGTGCCCCAAGAGGCCGCAGGATGGCCCCAATATGGCCCCAAGAGGCCCCCCAAGAGACCCCCAGGAGGCCCCCAAGAGACCCCCAAGAGGCCCCAAGAGACCCCCCAGAGGCGCCCAAGGTGCTCCCAGAGGCCTCGGCGATCATGTCAAACCATTGTTTGCACTGAGGTTTTAGCCACATGTTGGCCTCTTTTTTTAGGGGGTGGGGGGGGGGGGGGGGGGGGAGGGGGGGGGGGGGGGGGGGGGGGGGGGGGGGGGGGGGGGGGCACTGATTAAGATGACTCCAAGAGCGCCTCGGAGAGCCCAGAATGACCTCCAAGATGGCTCAAGAAATCCCAAGATGTCTCATACTGGCTTCCTCTGTGCGCTGCCCACTTCCCTGATCGAGGCAATCCCACCAGCCCTCTGGGCGTCGGTGGTTTAAGGCGTTTCCTCTTCCACCCCTCCCTCTTTCCCTTCGGAGGGGGGGGGGGGGGGGGGGGGGGGGGGGGGGGGGGGGGGGGCTCCCCCCACCCCCTCCCCGTGGACCTGGACGGGGGGGGGCGCGAGCGGTCAGAGCGTCCAAAACGGCCTCGGCGAGGAAACCAAAGTCATTGATTTTACTATGGTTGGGGCCCCATATTGGCCTCCTGAGGGGGCAAAGATGGCCCCAAGAAGCGCCCAGGAGGCCCCCCAAGGCCCCAAGATGGCCCCAAGAGGCCCCAAGAGGCCCCCAGGAGGCCCCAAAGAGGATCCCGAACGGCCCGCAGAGGCCCCCCCGAGGCACCCAAGACGCCGAAAAGCCCGTCAGGACGACCCTCTACTCGCCTGGGCGTCGTTTCTGGATGGGCTGGTGGGGATACGCGAAGCGTCTAGAATTTACAATGCAAGAGTGTAAAGAGGGACCACCTGAGACTGGGTGCGGAGGGTCGGGAGGCCGACAGGCGGGGGGAGTCTCATGGTGGGTCCGTCTGGCGGATGGGTTACCCATCCTTCTTGGCTGGCACGCGGCTCCCCTCTCCACTGGTCACATCTCCCTTGGGGCCTGGCTTCGTAGCCTGGGCCTCTGCAAGGGGCTTCCTGTGGGGGCTGCGGGAAGCCTCAGAACGGGCACGGCCGGCTCGACCACCTGCACCTCCTCCCGCAGCGCTTGGTCCTGGGTCAGCACCTTGAACCGCGTCTGCTGGTGGCTCTGATGGGACAGGTACATCAGCTGCATCTGCTGGCAGTGGGCTGAAGAGAGGTCCCAATAACTGCATGGCGTTGTTGATCTGACTCTCATCAAATCCAGATATGGATGCAGCCCGTGTGGCGAGGACTGCTTGCAGCTCGTCTGGAGTGAGCGCGAAGATCTGCGTGGGCGATGGCTTGGGAGACGAGGATCGACTGCCTGACTCGCTGGCGGCCGCCACAGCCGCTTTGTGCACAGCCATCTCAGTGTTGACCTCCTGAAGCTTTCGCTTGGCATCGGCCAGGCTCTGCATGGCGCTCTCCAGCTCCCGTTCTTGCTCACGTAGGTGCGCTGCTGCATTCTGGACTTTGACCTCGAGCATGCCCACCGTCTTGGTGTGGCTGTCAACCTGCTTCTCGAATTTGGACATGTTTCCGCTGGCCACGAGGAGCCTCTGGCTGGCGGACTTAGAGCTGTCTCGTTCTTCTCGGAGCGCCTGGAGCTTACGTTGAAGGGCCTTGGCTGCCTCTCCCTCGGCTCCATCTTCTCCCTTAGCGAGCGTGTCGTAGGCGTGCTGGAGTACTTGGATATGTTGCCCAATGTTTCCAACGTGATGTTTCTTTTCCTTGTCTGGGCTGGAAAGGTCCATGGCGCTGGGTTCGTCTGATACGCCAAGCTTGAAGGGATTTGATGCCACAGAATTGGTAGAGTCATCCCTGCCAGGAGAAACAGCACGCGCATCACGAACTTCTGCTTGTGCTTGTCCTCCTTGTTTGCCTTTGCATTTATTTTTGCCCTTTTGTTTGCCGTCACCTTTGTCTGCATCTTGTGGTCCATTCCCTCGGGGGCTTCCTCCTCCGTGTGGGTGTGACCATCCCGTAGCCGTCTTTGTCCCATGGGAACCACAGCGCCAGCACCAATTAAGATTGCGACTGGTGGTAGCCTTGCATTCGCTGCACTCTCAAGAAAAGTCTCGCGGGGCTCCATTTGTTCCCTGTTTGCCCATGGCACAGTAAAGTGAGGCGAAACATGTGTCACGATGTGCGGTATCGCGTATGCTGAGGCTCTCTCGTGTTGGCTAAGCCAACCGAGAGGGAAATGACATGGAAGGGGCCCCTGGCTGGGCAGCCGTCTGGGGGGCCCGAGAGCCTTGGTCTCTGATACCACCTCGAGAACATGGTCACTTGAGCCAAAACGGCTACGGCCCCCCCCCCCCGCCTCCTCCTCCTC